GAGAAGACAAACACAAGCAACTAAAATACACTTGGCAATAAATATAAATGTCCTATACGAAAACACCATACTAGGATGTTTCCAAGAAAGACAAGGCTAAGTCTGCTTATTCCTCCCTTTTTCTTTCTTTAAAGGAAAGTAGAAAAAGGCATTTTATCAATAAAGCCTTCTCTCCAAAGTACCAGCCTTTCAGATGAACCCTGGAGTTCAAACAGGATGTCTATAGGCAAAGATGGGGAGGTAAAAATACAAATATTTGGGGTGAACAGGTAAGTAAATCAATTCTAGGTAGCGGCAAAATGAATCCGAATGAAAACATTAAAGAAAGAAAAGACATATGTTGACATGAACAAGCAGGACATTTGTCTGACACAAAGGATGAAGACAAGTAGGTAGTAGAGCAAAGGGCTGAAAGGTAGACAGATATGTTTGTTGTAAGGCATTCACAAAGGAGTCTTACAGAGCAGGGGAGTGATGTGCATAAATCTATTATTATTCTAGAAAGGGTATTTTAACAGTGAAAAAATAGAAAGAGAAAAGAGGTGAGGCAGTGAGGAAATAAACCAGATGAAGTAGATCAAACAGAAAAGAGACCTCAAAGACACTGTGGAGGTTGGATCAAGATGACCTGGAGACAGAACGGACACACAGGATAGAAAGAGAGTCTCGGATGGCTTGAGGTCCCTGTTCCAACACCAAACTCTGGAGGAATAGAGTGTAAAGTGTTAGAAAATTAGTTTTACTTGATAATTTGGGTAAAGAAAACATTTTTATAATGACATGCAGAAATAAAGAATAGAATAAAAATGAATGTGAATTTTTAATATAAAAGACAAAATTTTCATGCCCACACCCTACTATCTTGCAGACACTAACTTTCTGCTGATATAGAAAACTTGAAAATAGACAAGTTTTAAAAAAAAACATGGCGGAAGACTGGTGACTCAGAGAATAAGAAAGTCATTTACAGAAAAAGGAAAGTCTAATCACCATGTGAACGACCTAGCAACTCTGCATTTTTTAACCTTCAAGGTGGTTTTTGTTGTTGTTGTTGTTATTGTTTTTGTTTTTATTTGGGAGAGATGTCATCTGGGGCAGTAGAAATCCTTAAGTTTTCTGATTCCCTGGCTTCCTTCCCTCCTATCTCCACCAATTGATGCAAATCATTCATTTATTTAACAAATATTTATTTTGAGGATGCTACTGGAGGAGCTGAGGATTCAGCAACAAACAATACAAAAGCCATCATCTTCATAAAACATGACATTTAATTTATAAAATACCTATTACCCCAGACTGACATACCACTTTCAAAATACACAAACGAGCTAAGAAATTGCAACTACCTTAAACAGCAACAAAGGTAGAATAAAAATTAGATGTCCCATTCTAAAACATTTAACACTAGAGTACTACCAATACATGAGAATGGTATAGTGTAAAAGCAAGCTATAGGTAAAACATATTAAAGAACTGTTGCTGTTAAGCCACGTCAAAGCAATTTCTCCAACAAAAAAAAGATGCAAAATTGTGTACCCCTGGCAATGTGTAAAGTTAAACTATACAAAAATAAAATCTGTTCAAGAGATTTTTTTTGTTCAAAATTTACCTTAATACTGCCATTGCGTGAACTTGTCCTTTTTTGTTATTTTATGTGTGTGTGTAATATACATACAGCAAAAAAATATTTTGTGAGATGAAATTAACACGTTTTTAAAAAAAAAAAAAAGGAAAGAAATTTAAATGGAAAGTATTCATAGCCCTGTTACCCTGGTAACATTTGGTACATACGTATCCTTAGAGATGTATACGCTTTAATAAGGAGAGTGGATGTGAGGAGAGTAGAAAGAGAAGGCCACTTTACAATTGGCTCTTCTCAATGTATACCGGGAACATTGTTTTATGTCAACAAATAAAAAAAAAAAAAAAGGAAAGAAATTTAAATGGAAAGTATTCATAGCCCTGTTACCCTGGTAACATTTGGTACATACGTATCCTTAGAGATGTATACGCTTTAATAAGGAGAGTGGATGTGAGGAGAGTAGAAAGAGAAGGCCACTTTACAATTGGCTCTTCTCAATGTATACCGGGAACATTGTTTTATGTCAACAAATAAAGACACCCAGTACTATTTGGGGAAGATGAACCTATTGCATTTTATTCTACCGTACAGATGAACCATAATTTCTTTTGCTATATAAATATTGATAAACTAATATATTTTACTTAAAATGTATTCCTAGAAGTAAAAACAATATAAGGATTTACATGTATATATGTTAGTACTGCCAATTTTAAAAAAAATATCCATTTTGCATTAAAAGAAAATTATAATCTCCATACTTTTCCTGAGAATATATGCCATCAGTACATAAAACAATGATTAAATTCCTTCAAAGAATTATACTTAGGCCAAAAAAATTATTGCAATTTAAAAACTTGCATAAGCAGATAAAAGATTAATTTTAAGAAAACTCTGCTTTCAGAGGACATTATAACTACAAAGCTTTTCTAAAAACAAAAAAAAAAACAAAAACTAGCTTGATGTCATAACCCTTTAGGGACTTAAGAGGGCAGGTTTTATTTCTCTGGGATGTCAGCTTTACCCACCCACTAGTCCAAATGTGTCCAAATGAGGCTCACATGCCTAAAAGGAACATCTAAAATGTGCTAACTTGCAAATAAGCTTCCTCCAACAACAAAGAAAAAAAAAGAAGAAAAAAGTATCCCAAGCAATGAGGATTTTTTCCCCTAAGGAGGATTTAAAAATCTCAGCAAGCTATAAATAGTTACATTTACAAATTAGATGTAAACTTTAAAGTTAATCTCTCTATAATCTTCATTTTTTTGCTCTGGGATTTGTGTCTACTTTCTGAAACAATTAACAGCAATTTGAGACAAACTGAAATGGGACAATTTGAAGCAGACTTACCAGAACAATGTAATCAAATTTCTCGAAATAAAACATTTAAAAAACTTGAATAATAGTTCATCTTTAAAACACACAAGAAAGTTAACTGATCTCAACATAACTCAGTTCTACGCACGTATGCAAACACACATACACCATTTAAAGGACTTTTAGCAAATCCTAATAGCAAATCCCACAGCCCAAGTGATATGGGCATCAAGTTACCTGTTGCATTTTCTTGTATTCGCCCACTCTGGCATAGGCCATGAAGAGGTGAGAGTGATACTCCTCACTGTTGGGTACTTTCTTCACAGCTGCCTCATAAAGTTTTGTAACTAGCTCCGCTAAGATAAAAAGAAATAGAATTTTCTTTACTTACTGAAGCATAACTTACATCTTAACAGCATTTAATTTTTTTCCTATTTGTAGGAAATAGATGTCTCATCATTAAGGAAAAAGAAAGTATTTACTTCGCCTCATGTGATATTACTCTTTTCTTGATTAGATGTTATTCAGTAAAACATGGAAAAGGTGAGCCTCTCCATCACATTTATAATATACAAGAACAGGATCCAGCCTGTCTCCTTCCTAACTCACCCAGCATTTTATGTTCCAGCCACATCAAACTATTAATAGTTCTACTAGATTACCTGTGCTGTATCATGCTTCCATGCCATTGCTCTGCTCCCTTGGAAGGTAAATGGGAGATGAAATTGACATGGAACACACAGGAAGCATTCTTAGTATTGATAAATGCTCTCTATTTCTTAAGTTGAGACGTAGTTTCATGAATGTTCATTATTCCACATCAAATTGTCTAGTGTCACATAAAATATGTTCTATAGTATGTATTATAAGAAATATTTATTATTTCATAATATATTTAAGAATCAACAATAAAAAACCATTTACAGATGAAATGGCAGACTAGGATATGCTCAGAAATATTCTGGCGAGGGAGGGGAACAAATAAAATTGGCCATGTGTCAATAATTGCTGATGGTGGGTAATGAGTGCAATGTGATTGATTTATTACACTATTCTCTTGTTTTTGTCTATATTTGAAATTTTCCATGTTAAAAAGTAGAAGAAAAAAAAAAAGAGTAACTCTTCCATTTAGCAAATCAAAATGTCACAAATGAAAATGAAGTCCACATTC